ATCCTCCTCAGTCAGGAAGCTCAATAGCAGGAACCGTGAGAGGGATCTTGGAGTCTTAGTGGACAACCAGCTAAACAGGAGCCAGCCGTGTGCAGCAGCAGCCACCAAAAAAGCCAATGCAATCCTAAATTGCATTAACAGAGGGATACAATCGAGATCAAGTGAGGTACTAATGCCACTCTATAAAGCCTTAGTAAGACCACACCTAGAGTACTGCATCCAGTTTTGGTCACCACACTATAAAAAGGATGTTGAGACTCTAGAAAAAGTGCAGAGAAGAACAACCAGGATGATGAGGGGACTGGAGGCTAAAACATACGAAGAACGGTTGCAGGAACTGGGCTTGGCTAGTCTAGAAGGGCCAGGGGAGACAGGATAGCATCTTCCAATATTTGAGGGGCTGCCACAGAGAGGAGGGGGTCAAGCTATTTTCTAAAGCACCTGTAGGTTAGACCAGGAATAATGGATGGAAACTGAACAAGGAGAGATTTAACCTGGAAATAAGGAGAAACTTTCTGACAGTGAGAACAATCAACCAAGTGGCCCTCGGATGTTGTGAGAGCATCATCACTTGAGACTTTCAAGAAGAGACGGGACTGTCATTTGTCAGAAATGGTGCAGGGTCTCCCGCTTGGATGGGGGGTTGGACTCAATGACCTACAAGGTCCCTTCCAACTCTGATGATCTGTTATCTCTTATCTGAGATGATGGGAGAGGAAAGGCTGACGGAGGCCAACTCTGCAGGCTTTGTGGACATTGGCTGAATCCTCCCTTCTCTTGGAACACCAGGCAACCAAACACCAAGCTCTTTCCTCCCTCACCTGTACCAACTCTGTGATATTGGAGTGCCATCCACCCAGGTGAGCTGAGCCTCTCGCCATGCCAGTCCAATCCAGAAGTACGACGCATGACCCCTGGCACCTTCGGTAAGGTCCCTCAGGAACATCTGTGCCAAGGCAAGTTTCAAAGGCAAGGTTGAGACCACAGCAGCATTTTCTCTGCTCCTACAGAAACTGGGCGGGCTTAAACTTACCTATGGCTAATGCAGCAACAGAGCTGTCTTCATGGCAGCTGGACCCAAGCCAACCCCTTGCATGGCTAGTTTTCCACCCCCATCCTCCTCTTTTTATTCCCCTGAGAGAGTGCGGATTGCAAATACCACCTCTTACTTGCTTGCTATAATCCTTGATGACCACTAGATCTGCATTTTGGTCCTGACAGAAGACTCTGGCCTCCTTCCAGGAGAGAACAGGAGCAGTTGGGAGGTAGAGGCAGAACTCATCTCTGTATGGGATCCACTTTGGGGGGCATTGCCCCAGTCCTGCATGCAGAAGCAGTAAAGGTGCATCTTGGATCAGGGTTTTTGTTGCACTGTGTTTAGTTCCACTTAGTCCTACAACACTTAGTCATTGGTGTTTAGTTCCACTTAGTCCTACAACAGCTCCTGACACATCAGGCCAAGATTCAACCTTCCCAAGTATGGCCACTTATCACAGGCAACGGTGGAGCACCCAGACGATCTGTCCTTCTAACTATAGGCCAGCTTTCTTCCTTGGTCTAACATCAACTTGGCACTGATTCTGCAGGTAATCTTCTACTGTAGCAGGTTCTGTGTCTCTCTCTGTCCTCACTCACACAGCCAGACTCACATGGCCTGTTAGGATCCACAGGCTAAAATCTTTCCATCCAAATAATAAAATGAGCTTTGGCAGACCCAACAGTAGAAGAAATGAGAGGACATTAAAAGGAAATATTTATATATAAGGAAAACCAATATAAAATGTTCTATCGTTGACATTTGGCATCCTCAAGACTGGCTAAGATTTACCCAAATTTAAAACCAAATTGTTGGAAGTGTGGACAACAACAAGGTACCTTGATTCATTCTTGATGGACATGCCCCAAAGTGAAAAAATACTGGAAAAGGATTAAAATGTGGTTAGAAGAGTTGACTAAAAAACAAAATTGATTTTGTCCCGGAATTATTTCTCTTAGGAATAATAAAAAAACTATAATAGAAAGACAAAATATCTTATATTACATATATTAACAGCAGCAAGAATTTCATATGCTCAGTACGAAAAGAAAAACTCCATACCACCTGAAGGATTAATAATTAAAAAAAAAAATTAGAGTGTGTGGAAATAGATAAATTAACTATGGAATTAAAAGGCAAAACAGACACAGAATACAATGCAGTATGGGAAACACGGTTTATTCAGATTGATAATAGATATAAGAGTAGAAAATGTAAATAATGTATATAATAAATAAGAAGGTATGAAAGTATTATGTATTGTAAGTTTTGATAGGACGCGTAAATGTGTATATAATGTCACAGCGCCGTTTAATAACTATTGGTGTTATGTATAAATGGAAAAAAACCCTCAATAAAGCATTCTTTAAAATAAATAAATAAATAAATAAATAAAAGGAAATATTTTAGAAAGAGAGGACCTTGGGAAGAGTGTGATAACCTCAGACCAGTGTGATAGTAAGGGGGATCTCAGTCCGCGTAGATAAAGGATTAAATGAAGTACCCACTCACCAGAATGTACGAGGAGCAATGCCAAAAAACCCCATACTACCTTCCAGTGCGATTCTGCTCCACCCATCTCAACGGGTCCTAAAACCAGAGGAAAAACCGTTGTTTTCCTTCGGCAGCTTCTGGGGTGTGAAAACACCTTTAAAGTGGACACATTTCCACCATGGATCGAGCCAAGCTGGGGGTCTCCCTTAAGAGCTGCCCAATTATTCGGTAACACACCCCCATCCTACGCCATCGTGCAACGTGGGGCAAGGGGTCCGGGCGCATCTCTGGGCATCCTCCTCTGCCCCATGGATCAGGCAGCCAGAGCACCACCTCTCCTCTCTCTCTCTCTTCGTGGCTGGGCCAAGACCCCCTCAGAGACCCTCTGGGCCCTACCTGCCTCCACTGGCCCCGCTAACTCGAAGGCAGGCTTCTCTGGTGAGGCCTCTGCCACTAGGCCTCAACGGGCCTCCCCCAGGAACTGTAGCAAGGACGGGGGCCAGTGCTATGGAGAATAAACCTGGGAATCCAGATTTATTTATTTATTTGTGTTATTTATTGATTTGATTTGTCAACCGCTTACAAGATAACAGGTATAAGTATAAACATAGTTATGAATGCATGAAATGGATACATATAAGAGAAATAAAAAGAAACAATAGGACAGGGACGGTAGGCACATTTGGTGCGCTTATGCACGCCCCCTACAGACCTCTTAGGAAAGGGGTGAGACGTCAATAGTAGACAGTCTAAGGTTAAAGTTTTGGGGGTTTGGGGAAGAAACCCAAAACCTCCCTAGAAACCTGCTCCTCGTCCAAGGGCCAGAGCAGCAAGAGGCCTCTTGCAAACAGACATACGTACCTGCCTGAATGCTTCCTACCTGGGCTTCCGTCTCCTCACCTGGCCACAAGCAAGAGCCTCCCCAGGCCCGCCATCTGCAGAGACCCTCCACGGCTTGCCCCGAAAGAGAGGCGCAACCCATGGTTTGCCTTTTCCAGAGAGGTTTACCTGAAGAGGTTCCCCGGCTGGCTTCCCCTTGGTTTGGGGCTACCTAAAGTCCTTCTGTGCCTTCAGGCTCCGGTTGTTAAGCCTTTGTGGCTGCATCGCGAGTAAGAATTTGCCTGCTTTTTTTTTTTTTTTTAAATAATAACAGCCACTTATAGAAAATATCAACCAATACCGAGGCATGGAAAAAATCATGAGCAGGTTCATATTTGGAAAGGCAGATTGGTGACTTTTAATTAAAAACAATCAAAAGCATCTCAAGCTTAAAATATGACTTGACAGATCCAGTAATGGTGCATCGGGAAAGCAGAAGCAGCCACGCCTTTTTGGATCCCTTCATGATTTGATGCAGCTCTGGCTGCTTGTCATTCAAACATCTAAGATGGGCTAAATTCAGTATTTTCACATGTGCTAAATTCGACCAGTGAAATTAAAAGGGGATGAAGATGAGAACACACTATTGAACAACATTTTTTACTAAGGGTCTGAGAATCACGGATTTGAAAATCAAAATTCACTATGTAGTACTGGCTCCTCATGAAATTAGCACCTCTGTAGATCATCAATGTCAACATTATTTTCTTCTAATTATGACATACCAGAACATATTTTAATATTACTATTGCAGCAGCATAGCAGTATGATATTCTCTTCACTTGTGAACTCTTGTCAGAAAGACATTCATTTTTGAAGTAGAGACTAACTTAAAAAATTAAGAAAATATATCTTTTAGAAAACTTATGGAGGCTGCTGAGGTTCAGCCCCCCAACCAAATCACACCCCAAGCGTGTTCTCCAAAATGGGAAACAGAGAAGGACTGAGGGCGTTTGCTCCAAGGACGCCTGGTATCCAATGCAGCAAAAGGACAAAAAGGAATCAGAACTGGAGAGTTGGAGGGACCTTGGAGGTCTTCTAGTAGGACCCCCTTGCTTAAACAGGAGACCCTGTTCTATTTCAAGGAAATGGATCTCCGTGTAGGAGCCCCCCTTCTCTGTAAAAACGAGAGCTTCTCTGGAAGCAGCCTGTGACTGACTAAAAAGAGACGAGAGGCAGAGTCCGAGCCATCGGATCTACTAGGTCAGATTTATCCTCTGGACAGTCTCAGCAGCGAAAGTATCAACTCAAGGGAAGCCCAGGAGGTGCAACTAAGAAAAATAAAGAAAACACCTCACTAAGAAACGCACCCCGAGGAGTAAGACCAGCTGGCTACAGTCTGTAGCAATGCCCAGCTTGCCATCACCAAGCAAGCCCTGAGGATCTGGTGCAAGATTTGGGGCTGGAGGGCTTACGCGCATCTCCTGGGCTGGTCAGGAGATTGTGCTAGAAAACCACCAGAACAGGGAAGTCCTGCAAGATGCAGCAAAGAGAGAGACATTTTCAGAAAATCCTGGAATCTGAAGTCCAGCAATGGGTCAATGCTTCTCCTCCCTTGCCAGTTATTCCCCAAGGCAGGCAGGAAGCTAATTCAGCTCGGAAAGGCTGCAGCGGTTCCACAGCAGAGAATGGGGTCGCAGCACCACCAGCAGCAGCACCAGCAGCCATTCCGGGGAAGGCAGGGCTGGGGCTCAGGCAAAACTTCCTGGCACGAGCCGCTCGGCTGCTCCGTGAAGACCGGCTTCTCCTTGGAGAGCTGATCCGGCTGCAGCCGGCCTCCGTGCCGGGGAAGCACCTTCTCGGACTTGACGGCGAGGAAGGCCGCAAGGTCCAAGTCAAGCATTGCCACCCCTCCGCGTGGGGTGGGGGTGTTTTGCCGGCACTGGGGACACGGGACCCACCACTGCTCGTTGGCCACCACATTGAGGCGCCGGATACAGGCCTGGCAAAAGGCGTGGCCGCAGTGGAGGCGGCGAGGGAGGCGGGCAGAGAGGTCGTAGGAGCAGTAACAGATGACACACTCGAGTTTGAGGTTGCTGGGATTGGAGACAGTGATCTCCAGGCCGGGTTTGGCTGCCTCGTCGTCCTCAGGCCCGGAAGGCAGAGCAGTCCTGCAGGGAGGAATGCAAGAGAAGAGTCGTTCAGGGCCAGCCGCGGACTGGACTTGGGCAGCAGCTCCAGTGGGTCTCGGTTGCCGCTCGGTCAAAAGCTCAGGGACTGCCTCTGAACGCCCGTCAGTCTGAAACTCCTCAGTCTACTCCCGATTCTCTTTCAGAAGCTCTGAATTACGAGAGCAGGCATGTCCAAAATCCGGCCCAGGGGCCCAATTGCAGCCCGTTTTCAAATTTCGAGTGTCCCGCAGCCTCTTGTCCCCGCCGGCTCATCCTGTCACTCATCCCCACTGGCCAGCGTTTTTCCCTTCACCGCACAGCAGGGTCGGCCCCCCCACACATTTTCACCTCACCAAATCTGGCCCTCCTTGCAAAAAAAAAGTTTGGACACCCCTGTACTAGAGTAAAAAAAAAATAAAAAAAAAATAAAAAAGAGGAGGGACACAATTTCCCCTGTGATGTGGACAGCTGGGTTGCTGGCTAAGGAATGTCAGGTTTTTAGATGGTGCCTTGGAGGATCCTGTGTGGCACCACCTGCAGTTTTTGTGTGAAGATATCCCTTGAAAGCAGGGGACAGCCCGTTGACCAAGCCAATCACTTAAGAGCCTTAATTCAAGTGAAAAGCGAGAGAATTAGATGGGAACCCCTGCCAAATGCAGCACCCCAAAAGGGGCGACCTCCACAAACGGCCTCCAGGCTGCGGTCAGCAGGCCAAGATCCCTTGCAAAGGGTTCACCTTACCCAAAGCCAAAGAGTGGAGGCTGGTGGGGCTCTGGGGCTACGCAATCAGCGGCAGGCTGGTTTCTGTGGGAGAAACTTACATTTCCTGCTCCTGCTGCATCTTCGCTCTCCTCCCGAGAAAGAAAGGGAGGCCGACAGCCTCTCACGCTGTTAAATTATACGAGAGGTTCACATTTCAGGCACAGTTGGTGGTACTGTTATCTACCATGAGGAGGCCAACTTCACAAGATAGAGTTACGGTTGTCCTGGCCAACAACATAGCCACAGAAACTGCAATTATGTGCTCCCTCCCTTGCCTGCCTCCTCCAACTCACCCCCCCCCACCAGCACTGCTCTGGATAGTCAGTCATGAAACCACCTTTTGCACAGACACCTGAAGTGCTCACCTCCCACCCACAGGAGAAAGGACCCTTAGGATTTAAGTATTCCTGCACCTCCGGAACCACCTGCGACCACCCCTGGGCCTCAGGGCCCCTATGCCCCTCCTTCTCCACAGGGCCTCCTCAACTCAGCCTCAGGGTCTGGACCTTGGGCTTCTGTCAAGGTGTGTGTGTGTGTGTGTGTGTGTGTGTGTGTGTGTGTGTGTGAGAGAGAGAGAGAGAGAGAGAGAGAGAGAGTGTTCTATCCTAAGGCTGAGAGAAGGATACCTGGAAGAGAGGGGCTGCTGGCTAGAGGAGCCTCAGGCAACCCCCTTGGGCAACGGGGAGAACAAGAGGCGTGGCGGTGGAGCATGCGAGGCAAGGATGCTGGTTTGTCTAGGTCAGTGATGGTGAACATTTTCGCTGTGGTGTGCCGAAAGTGCCGGCATTCACAATGCTATGTGCCCCCCCCCCTGCATGCGTGTGCTCGAGAGAAGCCTCTGCAGCCTTAGGAGGCCGAAAAACGGGCCCGTTTTGGCACTTCTGGTATTTCCTGAAGGCCTGCAGAGGCTACAGAGGCTTCTCTCTCTCAAACTCCGCCAGAAATGAGTCTTTGGGACCCTGCAAGGCCTCCTGCTCCAAGAGGCTGCACCGGCAAAGACGTAGTCGCTGAACCGGTAGTAACACCGGTTGAATCCCACCCTTGATCAAAACCAAGTCTCCAAACACAAACCAGGATTGTCCAAACTTCCACAAGACTTGAAGTGCAAGAACTTCTTTGCTTCCTGCAAAGAATCACATCTCTGAGGGCTGGCTTTTATCCCTTGAGGGGACATCACCTTGCAGCCTTACTCCCGAGTTGCCTGTGCTGCTGCAGCTGCTCTTTCCTTCGAGCAGCACTGGGCACAGGCTCCTCGGGGGCCTCTTCATCACTGCTGCCAGCCTCCACAAGCTCCGAAGGCAGCATTCCACTCCCTGATGGTCCTGGCCCCATCCCTACATCACACGCAGGCCCCTCGTCCGAGTCCTCGCTCTCCGAGACCTCAGCCATGTGCATCTGTTGCCGGCGAACCACAACACTGCCATAACTAAGATCGGGGGAAAGAACAGACCACAGCCTAACTCCATGAAGCCTCACCCACATGGGGCGTAGACGTTCTGGGGTGCCACATTGCAAGTCGAGACATGGGGCTGAAGAAGGAAAGACCGTGGAGAAAAAATGCTGCTGTGGGCTTAACGGTTGAGCGTGCTAGACCCAGAGCAAGCCTTCTCTTGCTTGATTTCCTCCTGAACAAACAGCCGGCAGTGGGGCAGGCACCTGTCTGGCCACATTCCTCAACCCTTCACAGAATGCAGGGGGGTGGGATGTTTCATTTAAATGGGTTCCCATGAGACCGTGGGTGAGGGGGGGAGGAAAGGGGTGAGAGTCAGCCCTTCTGGGGGTAGGGGAGCATTTAGGTGGTAAATGCCTGCCTTCTGCTGCTTGCTTGCGTGCTGACCAATTTCTGGCTCCATCTGAACCCCCCCGCTCCCCTCCCCTTAGCTGGTCACAAGCAGCACACACTAAATCACACACACGTACGACAACTCTTGATTCCTTTCCCGTAACTGGGCGAAACTTGACCGGAGGGCGAAACGTTTTGGACCAAGTACTTCAAACGGACCAACTCACAGAACGTGTCCGAAACCCAGGACTCATGACTCCAGTGGCATTTGAAATTTGGCAAAATTTTATAAAACTTTCTACGGCCTAAGATTATCAGAATACAAAACGTCATCAAACGTTCCCTGTGCTGATGTTCGACTATGTAAGACAGTTCTCGTGATGGGCCATTTTCAAGGCGGAAATGTCTCTGAATGTCTCCCAGTGAAGAAGGCCAGTCGAGAGACCTCCACCAGTATTGAAGGAACTGAGAAATCCGGTCAGGAAAAACCTCCCAACGGATGATCCCGTGGTCCGTGGGTTGCCCAGTGCAGAAACCGAAAGCAACGCCCTTCCTCTTATTTTTCTTTTGGCTTTTTTACTCTGCGCTAACAGGCTGCGCTGCTGTCCAGACCGCCTTAGCAATGAATTTTGTTTTCTTCTCCTTGGCTCAAAGCTGGACTCTGCTTTCCAGGCCTCAGGGAGCCAGCTCCAAAAACCCACAGTTCCCGAACTAGTCTGGCATAGATGCCTCCATGGAAAGGAGTCTGAAAGGGAAGCCAGGCAGGGCTGTCAGGGCGCGGCGGAGAACGAGGCAGGGTGTCACATACAGCAAGGGTGGCGGGGCAAGGCTGGCAAGGGAGACGTGGAATCTCGCCCTGCTGGGGTTGTGCCAAGGAACGCCCCTGGGTAACCTTCTGGAGCGTGCGTCCTTGGGAGGCATACGAAGCAGGTCCCAAGCCAGGGAGAAGTGAAGATAAGGAAAAGGAGAAGGAGAAGACCTCCACAAGGTGCAGAACAACTGGGCAAAGAAGGAGCCAGGGGTGCCCCTCCCAGGAGCACCAGGGAGACAGGCTGGCTGGGCAACAGCAAGTTTTATGACCCTCCTTATCAACAGAGAACTTTCACCACAGCCTCCCTTTAAAGGGCAGAGGCCAAGGGCCCCACCCTGAGCAAGCAAGGTCATGTGCCTGCCCCAGTCCAGTGCCCACTCTGCCTCCATTTGTCTTCTACCCACTCCCCTCCAGAGAAAGGACAGGGGCGAGGCTAGGGAAGGGAAGGCACGGCGGGCTCTGGCTGGTCCTCACAGACAGCGGGGGCAAATCCAGCTCCAGATCCATGGTTAGTGCCATACCCACCCTTCATGTTCCTTTGCCAGGGGAAGCTTTTCAACTCCTTCTTCATCGAAGGCTGGCCCGGAGCGCCTTCCTCTGCTGCCCATGTTGCCTCAGTGGAAATGGGGGAAAGAAAAGTTGACTGTTCCTTTAGGCTTCCCTCCTGGGCATCAGGGCACCCACCATTCTGGCAGAGGGCGGCTGTGGGGCAGGTGAGCACAGCCACGTCCAGCCTCGACTGCTCCTCGATTAGGAGATGACGCAGCGGCACTTCCTACAGCAAGGTGAGCAGCGGCAGCAGAGGTAGCCGCAGCCGCCAGGATCCGGAGCTGCCTCTTGGTGGCTCTTCCAGCGGAAGGGCTCCGGAGCGTCCACCCTGGGGGGGGCCTTGAGGCTGGCGTAGGGGTTGGTGGGCCTGGCTTGAGACTCAGCCTGCGCTTGGCCGTTCCAAGCCAGAGAGGGAGATTTGGGGTCTGCCTCTTTCTGGGGGGCTGCCGAGCAGGAGCCCAGGACGTTGGGACCGAAGTCCTCCCCCAGGTAGTAACTCAGGAAGTCGTCCTTCAGTTGAGCCCGCGGAACGGCGACGCTGGCATAGGGGTTTTCGATGGTGAAGCCCCGGTCCATGGCTGCCTGCTCTCTGCCTGTCGATGCTCCCTGCAGGAACAGTGGCTGCGGCGGCCCCTACGGAGGGGAGGTATGTGGCACCAGACCTGCCAAGCTGCTGCTTCTCTTGTCCAGTTGCCGAAGAAAAGACGCTTGGAGACAAAAAGGAGATTTTTTTTTATAGCAGAGCAAGAAAGGAGGCATTAAAAAGAATCAAATTGAAACTAACTTTGCTAAATCGACTTTGGCAGAAGTCAGGGACCAGCCACAACCACCCTTCTTCTGGAACAGAAGACTGGCAGCCTACAGAAAGGGGCATTGTGGATGGGGGGGGGTACTTTCCAAAGTACGAACTTCCTTCTGGCCTGGGGCACCTCCCAACTTTACCTGGTGACGACACAAAACAACGACAAGGGCACCGAGAAAGTAAAAAAATGAGGAGAGGGGGGGCAGTGGGTCGTCCCCAGCATTTGGTCCACAACTTTCAACAGGCTGAATTTCAACCAGTGGGCCTTGTTTCTCTCGTTCCTGGCTCTTTCTCCTGCGAGGGCAGCCCCCCCCGGTGACCTTCGCCCAGGCGAGGGGGGCTGTCTTTGGAAACCCCATGCAAGCTTCTCCTGGGAACAGCTGCACCCGTGGGACTTCTCCCTCCCGAAGGCAAAGGGGGCTCCCGCCCTTGGGACGACGCAAAGGCTCCTGGAAACGAAGCGCGCCCAGCGGTGGAAGAGCTGAGCCGCCCCAGGTTGCCAGCCCAGCCCCTCCTTCCCTCCCTTGGGTTAGACTGATAGCTGGACGCCTCTGCTGCTTGCCTGCCTGCCTGCCTTCTTCGGGCAGCCCCGAAGCCCAGCCCCGCCGTCGCTGCCCGGGCAAGCGAGCCTTGGCTTCAGCGCGCTCCCGACCTACCTGGCAGGAACGTCGGGAAGAAGCCGTCGCCCTCCCGGCCGGCGCTGCCCTCGCTTTGCAACGGTCCGCTCCGCCTCCGGCCAGGGAGGGACCTGACGGCCGCGCCGCCTCCGCAAGTCGACCTTCTCCCGGCAGCAGCCGGCAGCGGCACCGCCCAGCAAAGGTCGACCGACGTGCCGAGCACCGGGGGGAGCCCGCCCGCCCGCCGCTCCGGGGCTCCAAGCGCAACCTCCAGGCGGCCCCCCCTCGTTGAGAAAAGCCCCCTCCCCCGGGAGGGGTGTGTGTGTGTCAGTCTCCCCCCAGTCCGGCGCCCTCCTTCCGCCTGCGCCTTGCCACCGATCGCAGGGCTCCGGCAGCGGCAAAAGATCCCAGGGCCCACCGGGCAGGGGGCTAGGGATGCCCCCCACCTCCAAATTCCCGCTCCTCATTGCCTGATGGAGGCCATTCCTCCCGCCCTGGAGGAGGGACGGAGGGGGGGGCTTCAAGAGATCTGGGCCAGCAACCCCTAGTCTTCACTGCCCCCCACAGGGCGCCTGGCTCCCCCTCCCCACAGAGGGGGGCTCTTCCTACCCTGAGGCTGTGGGCGGAAAGGTTCCCAGGGCCTGCCAAAGGTGGCCTAAGGCATAGGAAGAAGGGTTGCAGGAACTGGGCTTGGCTAGACTGGGGAAGAGAAGGTCCAGGGGAGACAGGAGAGCATCTTCCAATATTTGAGGGGCTGCCCCAGAGAGGAGGGGGGGTGTCAGCCTGTTTTCCAAGGCACCCGAAGGCCAGACAAGGAATAATGGATGGAAAGTGACCAAGGAGAGATTTAACCTGGAAATCAGGAGAAATTTTTCTGACAGGGAGAACAATCAACCCATGGAACAGAAGTGGCCTTTGGAGGTTGTGGGAGCTTCATCAGTGGAGGCTTTCAAGAAGAGATTGGACTGTCATTTGTCAGAAATAGGTCCTGCTTGGGTGAGGGGGGGGGTTGGTCTAGATGACCTATAAGGCCCCTTCCAACTCCGATTATCTGTTATCCGGCCCTTCTCCCCAAGGGACAGGCAGGCCGGGCAAGTGCTTTTCCCGAGAGCTGACGCTAGGGGTCAGCCCTCCCTTAGCCCTGGCCTGCTTCCCCTCCCTCCCTCCCTCCCTCTCAATGCTTGAGAGCTGAGGAGTCTGGGGTGGGAGGGGGTGTGTTATCTCAAAGGCCCCAGGTGAACTAATCTTATGGATAAGGTGCGCCTTATGGTCTGCCTGCCTTACATACTGTCCGACATATGGAAAGAACTACTAGGCAGGCGGTGTAACTTCCTTAAAGCAAGGAAACTGGAGATGCATAGGCACATGGAAATGAAATGAAAACTCTTTAACTTTCCCCCGTTCCTCCCCGCTGGTTCCCAACGTGGGTTATTGTGCGTGCGACACTAGGCTGCACTGTCCTCACAACCTCCAGCAAGCCCAAGAGCCTCTGGCCCCCTGAAGCTCACCCGCTCAGGCCCCCCCTCTTCACCCCCGGGGGGGGGGGGGGGCTCTCCATCCAAGGGCTGTGAAAGCTCCCCTCGGCCCTGGTCCACGCGGCCGCCTCTTGTGAGCACAGGAGGGAGGTCCAGGCCAATCCAGTTGCCTCTTGCCAACAGGGGCCTAGCTGGCTTGATTCCCCACGCCCACCCCCCCTCCAAGGGGGGGCCATTGTGGCCGCCCACCGAGTCTCCGGCTGGAGGAGAAACTGAGGATTTCCTGTCCCGGGACCGGCACTTCCGCCACCTGGGCCCCTCCCTGTGGTTATCACACCCCCCCCCCCCCCCCCCCACCATGTGGGTTCCACCCTAAGTCCTGCCCCGTGCTGCCTCTTAGTCATACTTAGCAAATTTCCCAGCCCAAGTCATGATCGGGGACAGTGATGCTATTCTCATTATTACTGTTATCATACCAGGTCAGAGTATCAGTCGTGTGCCAGTGGCTTGCTTGGTTTCCCCAGGGAAGATTCTGGCTGAAAAGACGGTGCCCTCTCTGCCTTTTGCATCTCTCAGCCAGGAGCCTGCCAATGAAGCCTCCGCAGCCTCATTTCCTCATCGTTTCCCTCGCTTGGTTAGTCCAACCAGTTTCAATTAAATTCGTCTGTATTTCCATATGAGTAAGGCTATTAGACCCGAAGGAAGACACAGCTCATCAATAACACACAAAGCTTTGAGTACTCCTTGAAGGAAAAAAAAAATATTGTTCTCTTTGTAGAGTACAACGTGTACAATGAGATTGGCTGAGCCTCCCTTCGTGCAGCACAACTCACAGTGAGGACAGAAGTCCCTAACCCAGTCCCAGTCTTATCACACTATGTGACCTTGTTGCACAACACCACAGCCCCGCAAGTCTGTCATACTATGTTGACATGAAGTGATTTTCCATTCAGAAGTCTGACAGCCCACGGGTAGAAACTGTTCTTCAGCCCATTGGTGCAGCTGGCTATGCTTCTTTATCTCCTACTCAATGGTAGGAGAGTGAAGAAGGACTGACCGGGATGTGAGGATTTTCCTCGCTCTTCTAAGGCAGCGAGCCCTAGCGAGGTCATCTAGTGGTGTCAGGTGTCAACACACAATGACAATCCCCAAACACCTCCGAACCCTCCAAAATTCCCCGCCTCCTAAAAACACACAAGCATCCACACAACAGACCACGTAATACTGTCCAACAGCTCACTGAGGATGGTCCTTAAGTTCATTGTTAAGTGCAATTATAGCTCTGGGATAAAAACTGTTCGGGAAACGTGTCGTCCGAGTTTGAATTGTCCCGTATCTTCTGCCATGGGGCCTCGGTGGAAACAGGCTGCCCTGCCTCAAAGTCCATCTTCAAGGATGGCGTCTGCCAGGCCTACCTCTGTGAACGCCCTCTTGCCCACAGCCCCCACATCGCCCCCCCCTCCTTCAATGTCCAGCGGGGCAGGGCAGGGGGCCACCAAGAGAGACTAAAGGGCCGGAGAAAGAAGGCAGCTTCATGCAAAGGAAAGGGCCCAAACACAGCTAGGCGGGGCCAGGGAAGGTGCGCATGCAGGTAAAGACCAATTGCAAGCAGCCTGTCATTTGTGGCTCTCCCATGGTTGGAGGAATGATCCCACTAAGCCAAGGGGTCTTCAAACTTGGGGATTTTAAGACTTGTGGATTTCAACTCCCAGAATTCCTGAGCTAACGTGACTGGAGGAGGAATTCTGGGAGTTGGAAGTCCACAAGTCTTCAAGCTGTCAAGTTTGAAGCACAAAAGTAATTTCGTTACCCCACAATCCTGATTTCCCTCCCACTTCTTTTTTTTTGGAAAAAATAACCTCCATCCTTTCTACTGAAGAGACAGTCCTCGATGAAGGCAAATTCCCTGCCCCTTCCGTGGGTGTCCCCTGACCCACGTGGGGTACAGACCCACAGGGAACAAAATGATCCCCCCCCCACCCCGCCTGCCTTCAATAACTTTTGCCAAGGCCCAGCAGAGTCCCAGAGGAGGAATCTGCTCAAAACAACAGCACGGCACCCTGAGCCAAAAAACAAAACAAAAACCCACTTGGATTGTAGTCTTACTGCTTATCTTATTTTCCGAGAGCCGTTTACGGACATGGAAAAAAGGTGGGGATTAAAAGGGATTCCGTGAGCTGCTCCTCATTGAGGCCAAGGTGGAAACTCCGCAAGGTGGATCCTGAAATTGGGGAATGGGAAGCAGGGTGCCTGGGGTGCTAAGAAAGGAGGCTGAAGCCCTGCCTGGCTTCAGGGAGCCTCTTTCATTGTGTATTTCCACTGGGTGGGGGTAGGCAAGCAGGCTGAGCCAGTTTGGGATGGATGGCTGTGGAGGCGGGGGGTGGCTAGAAGAAGGGGGTGTGCGTTGGCCTGAGGGATGGAAGCATCAAGAGCTGCTGGGGGGGGGGGGGGGGGGGGCGGCTGCAGAGCGCCTTCCTCTCCTTTGGGCTCCCGCCCAGCCCAACTGCTCCGGGGTGGAGGTCGCCTTGGCCTGTGCTTTGCCCTTTGGGCTGCACAGCGACCTACCCCGCAGGGCTCTCGTTGCAAGGTGCAAGCCGGGCCACCCGGGAGCCGGAAGGAAGCTGCTGCAATCGCCGCCGCCGCCGCCGCCCAGGGTAACTTCGCAACGGCCGGGCGGCCGAGGAAGGCGGAGCGGAGGCCAGCGAGCCTCTTCTTCTTGCGCGACCTGCCGACAGAAGCTTCTCCGCAGCGCGGCTGGCTGGCTGGCAGGAGCGGGCGGGCGGGCGGGCGCTAAGGCAGCGCAGCCCGCGAGGTCCGGCCGGCGGCTGCTGCTGCTGCTGCTGATTGAGGGAAACGTGAGCCGAGCGAGCGGGGCTGCCTGCATCACTGCAGTGCTCTCACTGCGGAAAGAGAGGGGGACGGAGCGAGGCGGCGGCCGCGGGCACCCGGCAGCTTCCCCATCGACCAGAAGCAAACGACTCCGCCGCCTTCGGGCCGAGGCATCCCCGTGAGCCCGCGCATCTCCGGCCTTCGGCCCGCCGCAGGAAAGGAGGCAAAGCCGCCGCCGCCGCGGCCTCTCTTGGGTACCAATCGCGCCCGGGCGCAGCTTAAGCATCCCCGCTCCGCCTCGGGGCCGCTCGGAAACCGAGAGAGAGAGGACCCTCCGGCCGGGCGCTCCCCTCTCCGCGCACCTGCTCCTCCTCGGACGAACCGCTGGAGCGGCGCCAGCCTGCTGGGGGGCCGGCTGCGGAGGATGCCCGGGGTCCCTGGACAGCCGGGAGGGCACGGCCGGAGGTGAGGATCTGGGAGCGCGATGAGGGGGGGAGGGGATGACGGAGGATCTGCCTCGGGCCAAGCAACATGGGCCCCGGAGTAGCGAGGCCTCACCAGGCAACCTACTCTACAAAGACAGCAGTCTAGATGGGCTTGTCCGAGACCAAACAGGCCACAGGCTTCTGGGCCTCTGCAAGGAGGGTGGTGGACACGGCCACCATCGTGGCCTGAATTCGCCAGGCACTTTCCCTCAAAAGATGCCCCCACCCTCCCATCCCTCCTCCTCCTCCATCCGTGTCCTTCGTTCACCATCATCCCCAAGAACGTCCCTGCCACCTAGAAGAGATGGGCCAGCAGGAGCGTCTCTCTCTCTTGGGGACCAGCCTCAATTTCTTCTCCAGAGGGACGCGGGACCTGCATCCGAGTCCCCAAGAAGCAGCTGAAAGGACGCCTGAGCTGTGTGGCAGAGCAGAGCAGAGGTGCCAACCGGTCTTCTCTTCCTGCTCTCCGGGTCGCTCCTGGCCGTGAGCCTTCGCTCCTCGCTTTGCAAAACAGGCTTCCTGGCAGGGCTTGGGACGAACGCAGGGTTGGTGCTCTCACCTCGTGGCACCGATTCCTCCCCATCACGGCTCCTGAAGGGTCTGTGAGCCCATTACTTCAAAAACTGCAGCGTTCCACCCTAAAAGGTTAGTGCACATCAATGCCTCCTGGCTTGTCCCTGGTGAACCTTAACCAATGGTGTCACCTACAGCCCTTAGATTTGTAGGCCTAGATCTCCACATCCCAGCCTTTCAGTGCCGGCTGCTTTCTTCAGCAACAAACCCCCGGGCTTCTGGTCTTTAAACGAACCCTCCCCCACCCCAGGAAGAGGCAGGCTAACATTGGCCGCTTGGCGTTCCCAGATTCCCCCAGAAGAGGAAGCGGCTGGTTGCACTCGGCCTCCGTGGCCAGGTTTGTGGCTTGAGAGCGAGGGAGCCTTGACGTGGAGGAGGGGCCGAGACTCTCAAATGCAGAAGGGCCGGCGACTCTTCGTAGGGCAGTTTGGCAATTTGGCTGGCGCTGCTTGAGCCGATTGTTCCTGGAAGCTGTGGACGGAGATTGGCACAGCCCTCACCCAATCCTTTCCCCAGTCTAAACTGGGATGGGGTGGGTGGGTGGGGGAGATTTAGGCGAGGGAGACCTGCCTTCAGAGTCCAGGGCTCATTTTGAAACATTTCCATGTGGCCCCCAAGGTCAGCCTTGTGCTCCATCCGTGTCCCGAGTGCGTTGGGAGCCGGGGGGGTCTTTTGCAGGGTTATCCTTTCACATAGATGCCCAGGCCCTGTCTGTTGTCCCTCCCCACAAGCTGAGGTTTCAAAAACGTCTTGCAGAACGCCCGGCCTAGTCCAGAGCACCAGAGCCCTCAGACCTGTCTCCAGGGAGAGGTGATAGCTGAAGCCCAGATAAGATGCTTGGCACAGAGACGGTGCCCGGTTTGGTCCCTGCTATCTCTGGGTAGGAGGGTCAGGGACAGTCAGTGCCGAGCGAAGAGGGCCCACTGCCCCCACATGGCACTGTTGCTTCAGAGCAGCAGGCAGAGGAGAATTAAAAATGCTCTTAGCCCATGGAGAGTAAATAGGCAAAAAAGGAAAGGGGGCACTGAGTAAGTCAGGGAACAACGGAGAAACAAATGACAATTGCCAGTGGGGATTTGAGCAAGAGGCCCAGGAAGATGCCTGGCGGGACTGCTGGTACTTTGAAAGGAGACTCCGCTTGGTGAAGGCCTTTTATCTGTTGCTTTGGGGTTCGGGAAGCGAAGGCACCCACAAACACTGCCGCCCGTCGGGTGACTTGCCCTGCTCTGCTTTGTTTTCCAGGGGTCTGAAGGGCCGAGCCTATTCCAAGTGAAGAAGGGGCAGCTCACCCAGAGCGAACCCTCTGCCTGGCACCGAAGCAGGACCGTGCCCCACCTGGGGGCCTTTTCCCGGGACCTGATCGTCAGGGAAGAGCACCGAGAAAAGGTGCACACGTCACAGCTCAGGAATTTGCAAAACACATTCTTGAGCGTTGTTAGGATCTCCCCGCACCGTAAACAGGAACCAAGGCGGCGCAAGGGGAGGGGAGGGGAGCGCTCGGGCCTCCCTGGACACTCCAACTGCATTCCATCCACTCCTCTTCCCCCGAGTGGAATCAGCCATACCGGCAGGGTGGTAGACAGCCCACCAGCCTGCGCTCTCCCTGGCCTCCTTTCCTGGTGGGCCGGCTGAGCATGCTCCCTGGGAACTAGGCCCAACGCCCTGCCACCCAAGAGAGCTGGGTCCGTGGGTGTAAAGAAATCTGCTGTGGATATCACCCCTGGCCTGGCAACCTGTCTTGCCCAGAAAGCGTGGAAGGCCCAGGCCGCAGCCGGCGCGACGGTCGGAGCCGTTTTGGCAGCCCTGCTGCAGGATGCGTCCCTGCCCTGCTGTCCCCCTCCAGCGCTGCCCCTCTATGGTCCGCGCCCGGTTCAAAGCCTGGCTTGCCCCAAGCCCCATCTAGCCTCATGCAGGAGGCCTTCGGGGGACCCAGAGCTGCGGACAGGAAGGTGAAGAGCCTCCTCATGTCATGTCTGAAAGGGCAGCAGGTCATCCTCAAAATGGAGGCCATGAAGATCATCCACCCTGAAAAGTTCTCCGAGCTGCAGGGCTCCCAGTCACGCTACGCCCCGGCCCCCCGCCGGGACCCTCCCCTGGTGGCCAAGCGGGCCTGGCCCACGGAGTCCGAGATCATCGTCAACCAGGCCTGCGGGGACATCCCAGCCTTAGACCACAACCCGGGGTCTCTGGGGCTGTCGAGGACCCCACCCCTGCCCCGGCGGGAGAGGCTGTATCCAGGACAGCGCAAGGGCAGCTCTGACCTCTGCTACCACCGCCAAGCTCCGGCCCCGGACGAGGTGATCGTCAACCAGTATGTGCTGCGCCCCTCCACTCCGCCCGAGCCCCTGGAGTGCCCCACCTGTGGCCACACCTACAACTTCACCAACAAACGCCCGCGCATCCTCTCCTGCCTCCACTCGGTATGCGAGGAATGCCTGCAGATCCTCTACGAGTCCTGCCCCAAGTACAAGTTCATCTCCTGCCCCACGTGCAAGAGGGAGACGGTGCTCTTCACCGACTACGGCTTGGCCGCCCTGGCGGTCAACACCAGCATCCTCAACAGGCTGCCGGCCGAAGCGCTCTCGGCCAACCAGGCGCAGTGGAGCGGCGAGACCGACCGCAGCTGTTACCAGACCTTTCGCCAGTACTGTGGGGCAGCCTGCACCTGCCATGTCCGGAACCCGCTGTCTTCGTGCGCCATTATGTAAGCCGTGTCTCCACCCCTGCCCCGCTCTGCCCACCATCTCTCGCCGGCCTCGGCAGTGGGATTGCGTGAGGGAAAAGAGGGCGGCTCCTGCGGCTCCTGGGATATGCCAAGGCCGACTGGACTGGCCCTCCGGGATCAGCAACCCTCCGGCTGCAGGTGCCCCTTGAGTTGGGATGGCTGCCGCTTTGAGGAGAGGAAATAATCTTGGGGGGGGGGTGTCACCCCTAGTCGGGATGGCTTGCTCCCGGGTGTGGCACTTGGAAGAGCCACCCAGGAAGTGCTGTGGAGGCCCGACCGCCCACTGCCGTCCCCTTCCATTCGCCTCCCCTTCCTCTGTGCATCTGAAGAGACCCTAACCCACGCTTGGATTGGATCTTCAAGGGTTGGATTTGATCTCTTTCCTTTTCAGCTCACAGCTTAAGTCCCGGTGGGGAGGATAGGGCGGTAGTTGGGACGAAGACGAGCCAAGGCAGGACCCTGGAACAATACAGAAATAATGCCAGGCGGGGCCTGTGCTGGAAAACAAGGCAGACGCCAGTTTTAAGTTATTTTGCCAAAGCTTCTGATTCTGCGGCCAAGCGTTGGAAATGCACCCCGTGCTGCCAACTGAAGTCCAATTGCAAACAGGAATTCCTGAAGAATCACCCTGTTTTCCTGGTGCAAATTCTTAAGGGAAGCGGAAAACAAATGTACAGTTTTAAATCCTCGTTTTGGAGGATGCGTCCCTCAGACCGTTTCAGAAATGCATTTTGTTTGGGCCCTTGCTGCTGAAATAAAATGGACTGAGCGCAGTGATCCTTGGGTTGCGTCTCCTGGGGCAAAGGGAAAGGTGTGCCCCCTGGCAATGGAGGTTGTAGGCATGGCAAACACTGCCTCCTGCCCGTGGCATGGAATCCCCTCCCGGGAAAAGGAAGGTGCTCTTTTCCGTCTAGGGCAGTTTCAGGAGCGGACAGTCTGTGGGACAACCCCTCCAAACTGCAGCCAGGCCCCGATAACTGTGTCTAAAGACCCCTCAGTCCATGAAAAAATCCTTCCCTGACTGAAGGGGCAAAGAGAGGGCGGCCAATGCAGTTTGATCACTGGGATGTCATGACAGTGTCAGGCTGGAGGGAAGAGGATACCCACTTCCTCTGGCAAAGGCGAGTCCGGGAGGAAGTGCCAGTCTTGCAAAACATTCTGTGCCAAGTTAGGAAAAAAAAAACAACCAAAAAAACAAAAGCCATAACTTGATCAGAGTCCAACCCACACCCCAGAAGTCAGGCTGAGAGAAAAAGGGCATCCCTGGGCGATCCGTCTCCCCGTGCAGAGCTGAGATTTGCCATTGCGTTCACTTGCCCTGTGGGCCTTTCTAGAAGTCAACCGGGAAGGCTGGCCGTGATGGGCAATGGGTCACCAAGGGGTTAAGCTGGGTCCGAAATCTGGAGAACCCGCAGCACAAGGAGGGCTGGGAGCAAGGCCCGGTGGGAGCCCAACGAATCCTCCGAAGGGGGACGCTGACTCTGGCCCAGCCGGGGATGCCAACATCGGTCGAAGGGCAGAGCCGCCTCTCCAGGTTCTTCTCGGTTTCGCTTCTAGGGAAGGGAGCCGACGACGAGGAGCCAAGGCCCCAGGGTCCATCTCAAGGGGCGAGAGGAGGAAGGGATAGTTCCCCAGTGACAGCCTGGGCATTTCTCATCCCAGGAACACCTTGGTTCAGGAAAGGTCTGGGATTGGCTTGGCCAAAGGCCCACAGCCGCTTGTCCCTTCGCCCAAAGCCCAGGCGGACAGGAGAGGGAAAGAGGGAGCTGCGACCGTCAAGCTGGAAAACAAGATGGCTGACGAAGAAGATCCTGTTTTATACCTGGTGGTCTTGTTAACCCCTCAGCCAAATCTAAATAAATGCTCCTGAACCAACATGTGGTCTCCATTCATGTGTGTGGATAGAGAGAGGGTGTGTGTGTGAGAGAGAGGAGCAGGGGTGGAAAGAGGTCAACCCGCAGAGAGCCCTGGCTGTGGACTGGGTGCCGGAAGAGCCATTGGGCTCTGGGCCGCAGAGGCGGGACTTCCTCCGCTGACCGCTCTTGTCTGCAGCCAGAGAGCTCAGCGCCAGATGGCTCGGCCCTTTCCTTGCCCTAACCAGCCAGCACCACGGGGGGACCAGCCACAGAGGCAAGACAATTTCAGCCCCTCATCTGGAAAAGATGAGACAACCGGCGGAAGGAAGAGCTGTGAAACCTGGGCTCCTCCAGGGGGTCTCCGAAGGCGTCAAACCAGCTTCTCTGGACCAGTTTGTAGAGGTGCAACTGGGCGGGGAGAGGACAGAGAGCAGCAACGTGCCTTCTGACACCCTGGCCCCCTTTCCTCGGGGGAAGCGGCTCCCCCTCCTGCTCTTATCCTGACTTGTGGCGAAGAGGCCCAGGCCGGCTTGGCCTTCGCCAGATGTTCCTCTTCTGCACCAGCTTCCTGCCTCCTTCAAGATACCCCAGCTCAACCCTGAGCTGCTGCTTGGAGGTCAATGGGAGGTGGGTGGGCGGGGGGGGGGGGGGGGTGTTTGCTTTGCCTCCTCCGCCGTTTCTCTCATCTGTTCCTCCACGTAGTTCTTGCCGCAAGGTGGAAAGAGGAAGTGGTTCTTTCTGTCAGAAGCTTTCGCAACAAAGTGAGAAATGCTTGAAAAAAAAGGGGGGGTAGGGGGGGCAGCCTAGGAGAGGCGTGGCGGTTGGGGTCACGGCGGGGCAACGCGGCCCCTGGAAATGGGTTCAGAGACACACCACGCGCACAAAATGGCACTCCCAGGGTCATTTTTTGTGAATGATTCATATTTGTGTCATAGGAGACCCCACACCATAATACATCGGCACACGACACCTCACAGAGGTCATTGCTGCACAACCCTAGGGGAGAACAGGCTCTGGGGTCAAGTGTTAAAGCGCCTGCTGGCGTAACCCTGTCCTCCCTCTCCCTCTCCCCCTCCTGCCCTCCCCTCCTTCCTCCCACCTTTGCCGAGAGACCACAAAACACAACAAGCTCCCCCAGCCACGGCCCTCCCCTTCCCTGCCCAGCTCTCCCAGGGGGGAGATGTTCGTGAGTCTCCCCCTCCCCAAAGTGGCCACCCTTAAGGGACCCTTGTCTGCTCCACTAAGTAGAGTCGATTCCAGGATGAAACCCTGGCCAGAAAGGAAAGCCACACGCCTTGCTAGGAAGTAGCAATGAAAGGACTGAAAGCGAGACAGCCATTCTCGGAAAAGCCTTTATGTGGGTCTGCCCCAGACAGCTGGCGTTTTGCCATTCGGGAGGGGCAGGGCGCAGGAGAGAGGGGCACTGGGGGGTCTTCCAGGTGGGCAGACTGGAGAAGCAGCTGCTGCAAAACCTCCTTGCGGGACACAATCCAGAGAGGCTGCTGCAGTGGAACAAAGCCAGCGGCCTTCTGGGCAGCTGCTGACCGGCGGGATGCCTCCCCTCGGCTTGGGGCAGGCCGTGCCAGCCGCTCCCCACTCTGTCCTCCGCCGGGCCTCTCCAAGCGGCTCCTCCACCAAGCAAGCAGAGGGCGCCTGGCACCTGCTGAGTCACGCCAAGCAAGCCAGAAACCCCGTGCGCTTGCTTGGCCCAATTGCCTGGCACCTCCCTCTCTTCCCTCAGCCCTGTTGCAACTGGACGATGATTGTTGTCGGCAGCCACCATTCCCTGCAACACCCAGGCCAGAAGCTCCTGGACAGCCTCCTGTCTTGGCTGGCTGGGCTGAGGACAGAGAGAAGCCCCCGGAGGGAGCAAGGATCAGATCCTGGGCGAGAACTCCCAAAGGCTGGCATGAGCCAAACAAGGCCGGTTTCCTCAAAGGCCCTCTGAAAGCACAGGATGCCATGCTGCCAAGAGCTCACCTGGTTGGCTGCCCCTCCCTCTTGCCGCCCAGCCTCAAGGCACCAGGTGCTCCTAGCTGGCACCGATAAGAAGGCCCATTTCCTCAGGCGCTCAGGGCCGTCTCCAATTCAGCTGCGCCCCCCTGCAAAGGCCACCGTCCTCTGCTCTCCCGAGGAGCTGGCTTCTCGCTTTGTCGGAGGAGTGGGCAGCGTGCCACGGCTTGCTCAGTTCCCAGGGAGGCCACGCAGAGAGCAGCGCCAAGCGCGGGCCCTTCCCAGCTTGCAGGCTGTGTTTGGGGGGCGGGGGGTCCCCACCCTCGCTCGCAGCCCCGGGAGCCGAGCCAGGCCATCGGGAGTCCTACTTGTCCAGGATGAGGAAGAGCAGCAGCAGCAAAAGGATGGGCAGGAAAACCAGCAAGAGGCTTAGCATTTCTGCTGCGGCCAGAGCCAAGAGAGCCATCCGGTAGCACCAGGAGCAACGCCGCTCCAGCTCTGCCAGGCGATCCACCAGGCAGGCTGGGTAGCGGAGGCAGGGGAGGAAGCCCATCACGCGGCCGGTGTGGAAGCGGACGTGGAAGTGGTGCGCCAGGCCTCCCCAGAACCCAGGCTGCCGAGGCGGCAGCGGACTGAAGGCCGGAGGCGCCGGGCCCTGGGCAGCGCTCAGCAGCAGCAGCTCCTCTTGCAGCTTGCAGATCTCCCACTCCATCATGGGAGTCTTCTGGCGGCAAATGGGGCACCGCACACGGCCGATGTCGACCGCGCTGCCTGCCTGCAGGATGGCCTGCAGGCACTGGCCGCAGAGCACGTGGCTGCAGTTGAGCACGGCCGGCTTGCGTTGATCTTGGTCGTAGAGCTCCGTGCAGATGGGGCACTCCTGCTCGTCCCCCACGGGGTCCTCGGCTTCGATGCAGCAGGACTGCACCAGGGCCCCCTGGGCACCCCTGCCCAGGGCTTTGCTCCCCAGCAGGCAAGCGCCCTCCGTTTCCTCCTTTTCCCCCAAAGTCACCTGGGGCGCATTTCCCGATGGGGAGCTCTCCTCCTCCTCCTCCTGCCCAAGTGCTGCAGGCCCAGCTGTGCCACAGGCCTCTTCGGTCACTGGGGAGCCTCCAGAATCCACTCCCACCTCATCCAGAGCTCCTTTCAGAGGCCAAACGGGGGAAGCGATACT